AAATTGGAAGTTTCAAAGTTCATTAGGCTTGAATCTATGTGTGATTCGTGATTTTAGCGTTGTTTGATGTGATTTGAGGTTTCAAATAAGTTCGTATGATGTTTTAGGACTGGTTGGTGTATTGGGTTGAGGTCCCGAGAGCCTCGGGTGAGTTTCGGATGGTTAACGGATCAAAAATGGGACTTAAACAACTGCTGCAAAAGCTGCTGCAAATTCTCTTCTAATGTGCAATCGAGCCCCCAGAAATCGAGCCGAGTATCGATGGCAGGCTCGAGATCCATGATCGAAGGCAAGCTCGAAGACCAGTGATCGAAGGCCCAAGATCGAGGGCTATGACTAAGGCTAGTGATCGAAGGCCATAAAGATCGAAGCCATGATCGATAGCCAGGATTGATGGCTGTGATCGAGCCCCAGGGTCGAGGGCCATGATCGAAGCTATGATCGAGGACCATGATCGGACCCCATGATCGGACTCCCCTTAATCGGACTCCCCATGATCGGACTCCCATGATCGAGTATCCAGGATCGGACCCTACGATCGAGGTCAGCCTGGTCAGATCCGTAAGTTATAAAAACAGGGGGGCTTCGCCCCATTCGTCATTTTTAACAACTTGGAGCTTGAGCAGAGGCGATTTTTGATATATCTTCAAGGAAAAACATTGGGGTAAATGTTCTTAACTCAATCTTGGTTAGATTACCCGAATCCAGCACGGTTTTTAACATTTAATTGGTGATTTAAGTTGGAAGAATTTGAAAACCCTCCTGGATAGATTAGTGGATTTGAGGGTCGAATCGTTATTGGAATTTAGTCATTTTGGTATGGCTAGACTCGTGGTGGAATGGGCGTTCATATTTCGTAACTTTCGACGGATTCCGAGATGTGGGCCCCACGGGCAAATTTTGAGCTAATTTCGGATTTTAATGAAAATGTAATATTTTCTTATGAAATTGATTACTATAATTTTTGTTGACTGTATCGAATTAATTATGACTAGATACGAGTCGATCGGAGTCAGAAAATCGAGGAAAAAGCATAATACTTGATTAAATTGGAGCAAGTCGAGGTAAGTGACTTGTCTAACCTTGTGTGGGGGAAATTTTCCCTAGAATTGATATTGATGTGATTATTGAAATGTGTTGAAAGTAGTGTACACGAGTGTGTACACGGGCTAAATGTGAAGGATTATATTTTTAAATTGTTTAGATCATTGTTGCGCATTTATTAAATTATTTTATCTTGTTATATTCTTCATCATTGATCTGTGATATATATTTTAAATTTGTTTGCCTTTTCCCTACTAATTGTTTTACCTGTTTAATTGAAACTTGGTTTCTTTCATACTGTGCATTATTTGAAGGTTGATTTTCTTTAAATTAAATATTATTAATATGAAGTATTTGACATTTTTAAATTTGATATTGAAGCAACGTATTAAAAATTTGAAATATTATTTTCCTGAATTATTTATTCTTGAATATTTTCGTAAGATATTTTTTTTGGATTATTCTGGCATAAGCCGTGAGCTCTTTATTATTGAAAAATATTGTTGTTGATTTTTTTTGTAGAAAATTTGAAATATTGGGCACTTGAGGTGCAAATTGTGATATATTGTGATATTGATACGCATGCGGTGGTATAAGGTCTGGGTGTTGAAACGCATGCGGTGAGATAAGGGTGACTTGATACGCGTGGCTAGTAGGGATGACTACTAGAAGTCATGCGGTGATAAGGGTGGCTAAAACGCGGGATGCTATTTCGGAAAAAAATATTTTCTTTAAATAAATTGTGAAGGCTCCCGCGGTGATATAAGGAAATGAGATATTGTGAAATTATTTATAACTTGGGACTACGAGGCGGTACCTCGGTAGTGCCCTTGTTGATATTGATTTATGGCCATAGTTGCTTTCGATTAATTGTTGTGATTTTCATAAAGTTGAAGGAAATTCTGTTTTGATTCCACGAGATATTATTTGCAATTATTTGGTGTCATTAAATGTGACATACTATTTGATTCATTTCCAATGTCATTCTATTTTACTATATTGATAAACATTTTACCATGCCATTATTATATTCCAGTAGGGCCTCACCTGACCTCGTCACTACTCTACCGAGGTTAGGCTTGACACTTACTGGGTACCGCTGTGGTGTACTCATACTACGTTTCTGCACATCTTTTTGTGCAGATCCAGGTATATTTTACCAGCCTAGACGTCAGTGAGTTACCTGCGCACGGAGACTTCGAGGTATATCTGCCAGCGTCCGCAGACTCCGGAGTCCCCTTCTATCATTTTATATTGCTTCCTTATATTTATTTTTAGACCTTGACATATAGAGACATTGAGAATAAATTCTTAGAAGTTTGTGATTTATATCTATCGGGTTTTGAGAGTTGTAATCATTTGAATTGTAGTTTATTTATTTTCAGATATTTATGATTATTCCGTATTGTTAGGCTTACCTAGTCTTAGAGACTAGGTGCCATCACGACCTCCTACAGAGGGAATTTGGGGTCGTGACAGCAGGGTAAGATTGCGTACAATAGACATAAACCCTTGTGGTCCGGCCCTTCCCTAGACCCCGCGCATAGCGAAAGCTTAGTGCACCGTGCTGACCTTTTGCCTATCAGATTCCACTCTTTCAGAACAAAACCAAGAATTGCAAAGACTAAGCCTTAAAACAAAGCCAAGGTGAGTTCAGGACACTAATTATATATTTCCAAAAGATAGAAAACCAAATGTTGCTTTACACTAAAGGTAATTGATTCTACCTTTGCCCTTTCTTGTTGGGTGTTTTGTTGATTGATGTTTGACTATAATTTCATATTTTTAGTGCATTACTTACCTTGCATTTTAGGTGCTTTAATGCTAAACTATACTATATTCGTACTAAATTAATTTTATTTTATGTGTAAGTACGTTAAAGACGAAATTGGGAGCAAAGTAGAGATTTTGTGTGTATTTTATACGCAACAAATGAAGTATGATTATTTAATTAGTTGGTATTTAATTATAAAAGAAGACAAAAGTGTAACAATTGAGAAAGAAGACAAAAATGTGAAAAGAGAATGTTAGGCAAAAGCAACAGAATTGATTGAAGCAGCGAAGAAGTCAGCGACGCGAGCCATCTTGCTCGCGACAGAGGTGGCAACGCGAGATGCCAAGCACGCTAGGCGAGGCCAGGTCTGAGGCGAGGTGGACTGTGCGTTTTGCGTCGCGAGGCGAGGTCCGTAGCGAGCGGGCTCAGGTTTTTAAAAGCCTATTTTGTCTCCTATTTGGTTTTGGACTTTATTATTTCGTTTAGTTCTCTTCCCTACCCATATAAATAGTCAAAACATACCATATTTAGGAGAGTTTTGCGACCGGAGGCAAGAACATCACGTGGAATCACTTTTGGAGGAGAAAATCATAGAGTTCTTCATCCCTTTATCTTTTCTTTGTAATTTGTTTATGCAAAATACTTGAAAATTTGTTGCTACGAACATGAGTGGCTAAGCACTCTACGGTCTAGGGTTGTGGTTGACATAATTATTAACGTTTAATAATTACATCTTCGTTAATTCGGATTATCATCTTGTGGTGGTTTCTTTAATTCTAGTTTTCACTTGTGAATTGTTGTAGCTACCAATTCACCCTACTATCTATGCTATGCTTGGGAAAGCCGTGTATAGATTAGAGTAGAATTAGAGAGAGTTTGTTTCTGAACCCGTGGCTCGGGGAAGATTTCGCGGTTAGGATAGGAATATACCTAACAGTCTTGCTTAATTAAATACCGTATTATATTCGTTCATGATAGACTCAATACCATAGGAATATAAGATTGATATATTGTGGGCATGCGAGTAATATTGTGGGAACATGCTATTCATATAAACGATCCGGTTAATTAACAACCATAGATAATCTGGATTAACGAGTGTAATTGATAAACCGACTACAACCCTAGAATTTTCATCTCCTCTGAAGTAAAATCTCATCATACGCATTTGCATTCTTGATAAATTAGTTGTTACTTGTTTAATTCCCGCAATAGTAGATTAATAGAAAAATGTGACTCTTAAATAGCTTGGACAATTAATTAATTTTAGTTTGCTTAGTTAACGATCAATCTAAGTCTCTGTGGGTTCGACATCCGCCTTTCGAGTCACTTTATTACTTGACAGCCACGTATACTTGCGTGTACTTGGGGAACCAACAAGTTTTTTGCGCCGTTGGCGGGGACTTAGTTATTGATTGTTTAGTTAAGTTAAGCTTTTATTCGTTATTTGTTCAAGTTTTAATTTTTAGTTTGCTTTATTTGTGTTAACGCAGGCTCTTCTCTTGAATGCGGAGGAGTAGAAGCACAAACAATCTCCTTCCTCTTGATCCTGAAATCGAACGAACACTTCATAGAGTGAGGAGGGAAGTCGAAGCTAGAACTAGAATTGAAAGAGAGTTAGACATCGTAGTTCAACCACATCCAATAGAGATGGCGGGTAATAAAGAGCGTCCGGTGATAGAGGCTGCAAGGCCCAATCTGGCTCTTATGACTCAGGCGATTGTAAAGCCTGATATCACGGGTCACTTTAAACTCAAACAGTACATGGTACAACTGATTCAATCCAAAGGGCAATATGTGGGTCTATCTCATGAAGACCTGCAGAGGCACATTCAGAACTTCCTGAAAATTACAGACACTTACAATTATCCGAACGTTTCCAAGGACTATGTCAGGCTGACATTGTTTCCCTTTTCACTGATGGGGGAAGCTAAGGAATGGTTACAAAAGGAGCCGGCGAACTCAATCCACAATTGGGATGATATAGCAAGGAAATTCTTAATCAAGTTTTTTCCCACAAAGAAGACAAAGTCACTGAGGAGCCAGATTCTTGGGTTTCAACAACGAAATGGTGAGACTCTTCAACAAGCTTGGGAAAGATACAAGAGGCTACTCAGAGACTTCCCACACCATTGTCAGACTGATGAAGTGTTGGATCACACTTTCGTTGATGGGTTGGATGAAGCATCAAAGATGAATCTTGACTCAGCATGTGGGGGTAGTTGCATGGCAAGACCGTATAGTGAGATCCAGATCCTACTAAACAATTTCATTGCTAATGATAATAATTGGCAAGGAGATGGGGAACCACGAAGAGCACTTAAACAAAAGGCAACATGTGTGATCGAGCTTGATGATTTCTCAGCAATGAGGGAAGATATAGCTAGATTAGCAAATCAGATGAATAAAATGACAATGCACCATGCACAAAAGATGCAACATGTGCAACAGATGTCTACTTGTTGCGAGTTATGTGGTGAAGGTCACACAAGTAACATATGCCCGGTGAATCCTGAATCCATCTACTACGTGGGGCAACAAGCTAGAGGGCCGATGAATCAAAATGCTCAATATGGTAACACATACAATCCGAACTGGAGGAATCATCTTAACTTCTCTTGGAGTGGAAATCAAAATATCATACCTCAAGTGAATTACAATCATCCACCTCAACCTCCACACCAAGCAGAAGAGATTCTGACTGACATGATAAAAAAGCTCTTGATAGACAATCAGAAAGTTATGGCTGAGAATCAACAAGTCAGGGCAGAGAGTCAACAAGTCAGGACTGAGAATCAACAATTGCGCACAGAGTTCAGAAAACTAGGGAGGCAGTTTGGGCAGATGGCTAACAATCAGAATACTAGACCTGCTGGAGCACTCCCAAGTGATACAGAGAAAAATCCTCAAGTCAATGCAGTGACGTTGAGAAATAGGAGAGAGTTGGTAGAAGTGCCTAAGAAGAAAAATGAGCAATCTAGGCTCGAAGAAGAAAGAGTGCCAAAACCTGTAGAGGTAGATGAGAGAAACAAAATAGAGCCTGAGCAAAAATCAGAGAGGGTGCCACCCCCTTTTCCTCAAAGATTGAGAAAGAAGAATGATGACCACATGTTTCACAAATTCCTAGATATGCTGAAGCAGATACATTTGAACATCCATTTGGTGGACATGCTCCGTGAGGTCCCCAAAATATGCAAAATATATTAAGGACATAGTGGCAAATAAAAGGAGGTTAACTGAGTTTGAGACCGTAGCACTTACTGAGGAGTGCACTTCCAGGATTCAACATAAGCTTCCACAAAAACTTAAGGATCCGGTTAGTTTTACCATCCCCGTGAGGATTGGTGAATTTGATGTGGGTAGAGCCTTGTGTGATTTGGGTGTAAGTATCAATTTGATGCTGTTGTCAGTGTTCAAACAACTGGGCTTAGGAGCTCCGAGACCCACCACGGTGATGCTACAGTTAGTTGATAGATCTTATGTTTATCCTGGGGGGCTAATTGAGGACGTCCTGCTGCAGATTGGGAAGTTTATTTTTTCTGCAGATTTTATCATCCTAGATTACGTGGCTGATGAGTTAGTTCCTATCATCTTGGGACGACCTCTTTTGGCCACTGGAGATGCAATTATCAAAGTCCGAGAAAGTAAGATGATCCTGAGGGTGGACAATGAAGAAGCAGCCTTCAATGTATATCGAGCCATTCAGTTGCCTCGTCATTACGAGGACCTGACCATGATTTCGGTGGTGGAGATAAATGAACTAGCCGTAGAGCCAAGGGCGTTTAAAGAAGATGCACTAGAAAAGGCATTGGCATTGTTCAATCACTTGGAACTTGAAGAAGAGGTTGAGGAGATGTTGCACATTCTGGATGCATCGTGCGAATACATAAGAGAAAGAACCCAATTTGAGCCTCTGGATAGGCCAATCGTCCCGCCTCCTAAACCCTCAGTTGAGGAGGCCCCAAAATTGGAACTTAAACCCTTACCATCTTATCTTCATTATGCATATTTAGGAAATTCTAACACTTTACCTGTGATTATTTCTTCTCATTTGTCTGAATTGTAGGAAGAAAAGCTCTGAAGGGTGCTGAGGGAGCACAAACATGCCATTGGTTGGACGATGTCTAACATAAAAGGTATTAGCCCTGCATTCTGCATACACAAAATACTCATGGAGAAGGCACACAAGCCTAGCGCGGAGCATCAATGCCGCCTCAATCCAATCATGAAAGAGGTGATAAGAAAAGAAGTAATTAAGTGGCTCGACGCAGGTATAGTATTTCCTATCTCCGATAGCAAGTGGATAAGCCATGTTCAATGTGTACCTGAAAAGGGGGTATGACTGATGTAGTAAATGAACAAAATGAATTAATCCCAACTAGGATTGTGACTGGTTGGTGAATATGCATAGAGTATAAGAAGTTGAATAATGCTACACGAAAAGATCACTTCCCTCTCCCCTTCATTGATCAAATGCTTGACAGGTTAGTCGGACAGGAATACTATTATTTTTTTGACGGCTATTCCGGGTATAATCAGATTGCTATTGCCCCGGAAGATCAAGAAAAGACCACTTTTACATGACCTTATGGTACTTATGCATTTAAGAGAATGTCATTCGAGTTGTGTAATGCACCTGCGACTTTTCAAAGATGTATGATGGCTATTTTCTACGATATGGTGGAACGATTTGTGGAGGTTTTTATGGATAATTTTTCTGTGTTTGGTCCGTCTTTTGATGAATGCTTAACCAATCTTGCTAAAGTGCTTGCCAGGTGCGAAGAGACTAATGTGGTACTGAATTGGGAAATGTACCGTTTTATGGTACATGAAGGTATAGTGCTGGGACACAAGGTGTCCAAAGATGGACTGGAAGTTGACAAGGCTAAGGTGGAAGCAATTGAAAAGTTGCCACCACCGATTTTAGTGAAATGAGTTAGGAGTTTTCTGGGACATGCAATTTTTTATCGCCGATTTATAAAGGATTTCTCAAAATTTTCCTCTCCTTTGTGCAGGTTGTTAGAGAAGGATATGTCGTTCAAGTTTGACGATGCTTGTCTGAAAGCATTCGAGGAGCTGAAAAAGAAGTTAGTGAGTGCACCAATCATAGTGGCTCCTGACTGGAACGAGCCATTTGAGCTAGTGTGTGACGCCAATGATGGTGCAATTGGGGCCGTATTGGGCCAGAGGAGGAGAAAAATATTTCACTCTATTTACTATGCAAGCAAGACTCTCACTCCCGCTCAAATAAATTATATTGTGACAGAAAAGGAGTTGCTTGTTGTAGTGTGGGCGTTCGATAAATTTCGGGCCTATTTGGTTGGCACCAAAGTCATCGTCTACACATACCATGCAACCATCAGGTATTTGTTTGAAAAGAAAGATGCTAAACCAAGGCTAATTTGTTGGGTGTTATTTTCAAGACACAACTGCTATTTGTCATTGTTGCTTTATGTGTTTCTGAAAAGAGTTCTATTGTGGGTGCAGCCACGGCAGAAGGCAGGTCTAATGCAGGGGAATCAGTTTCATACAGGGAATTCCCATGGCCAGTCCTTGCAGGGTATACAGGCAATGGGAATGATGGGATCTCTCAACATGAGCTCTCAGTTAAGGGCAAATGGTGCCCTTGCATATGCACACCAAAGGGTCAATCAAAATCAGTTGAGGCAGCAGTTGTCCCAGCAAAATCCTCTCACCACTACTCAGGTGCCAATCTTCGAACATGCTAGTAACATGTCTTTAATGCTAAAAACTAACCCTCTCATCTATTCTGATGAGTTTTCCACTTGACACCGTGGTAAAAATTGGAGACGACTCTTTCAGAAATCTAGTTGCAAATTTTTCTCCAGGTTGTGTAACCCAAAAAAGTTGTCCACAGCATTTGTTCTTCAAATCATTCAGGTCATGAATTTGGTCATTAGTCATAGCAGCAAATCAAAGAGAATCTTTTGTGTTTTCATTCTCCTAGACATTTCCTATCACATGAGAGTTTGTTTCGAGATATTTCTGTAAAAGATTGCTCTGGGTAATTTCTAATGTATTTTGTTGACTAAAAGGTCTAAACTAGGATATGACTCTTGTTTATGAAATCTGATAGCCGGATACTTGGATTATGCAATCACAACAATGACACATATGCATAAGCGTGTAACGTCATTCAAAGTAACTTGGCATATAGTAAATAAATGCTGATTTTTGGCACAAGGTTCATGTTTAACTTAATTTTATCCAAAGGAAAAAAATGCTCATGTTTAACTTTGTGCTGGCATTTCATAGTATCAGGAGACAAAGAACATGAGGGCTATTGCAAGTTTTAACACATTGAGATTTATGGGATGCCCATGAATATTTTTAGTACTACTTTCTAGAGAGCCTTTAGCCTATGGTACTGTATTTTTCACTGTGCCTACCGCTTCACAAACTCTCACCCTGAGGTGGCACAAAACTTCAATGCGCGTTAAAGCTTTAGGTGGTATATATGAGAATAACTTTGTAAAGACAAAAATTCCTTGTGGAAAGTTTGAATTTGATTCAAAGAAACATAGGTTTGCTGCTCTTACAGTTCTTTTGTACTACATTTCGAGCATGTGGTTCTTATCTGAACGAACAGTTTCTCATTGAGTATGCAGCTATTTCTCGGTTAGGTTTATACGCTGTAATAGCTATGTCTGGAGGTGCCAATTATGATCATTTAGTACTAGAGGAAGTATCATTAACACAGTTTGTCCCATTTTGCTTTCTGTAAAATACTTTGGGATTTGATGCATTTACATTTTATAACTTAAAAGCTCAATCTTTTTCTAATATTACGTTTTTAGTAGCAGCTTTTACGTTCGTTCTGTTATTCAAGTTCGACGAGTTTTTCTTTCCTAAAGTACATTCTAATACATGTGATTTGTTAGGTAATCCTATGTTTTCAACCCCTATACTAGTTGGATTAAATTTTGGGTAAAACAATCTTTGAGTTACTTGCTTCAATCACTTTATTCTCTACATAACAAATAACAATATCCATTAAGGTGGAAGATCTAACCTGTAGGCACCGAACTTGCGAGTTATAGTTATGTTCTGAGGCGCGGAAGAGAAGCTTGGTGTCTGTTTGAGAGGAATTGATGGTTCATAGATAAGCGATGCAAACAATCATATTGGGGTTTTTGCTTCTATACATTAATAATAATAAATTCATTACCTTATAAGAAAAAACGAACATTAGGCTTTTATATACCTCTTGTATCTACTTCAATAAAATCTTTATCTAATTTAAAAAAATAAATTGAAACATTGCAGAGAACAGCAAGTGATATTTTTTTTTCTGGAAAGAATGATCTTAGCCAATGGATATTGTTATCGACATTTTAGTTAGGTGCACGTGAGCTCCTTTTACTCGTCTTGTTAATTTTCAACTTGATATTAAGATAATGAAAATGTACCTCTGGCACAAAAATTAATTGATTGCCAAGATGAAGTCTTGTTTATAAAGTGCTTTAGAGTTGTGGATGTCGTCATT